GGCACATCTGTTGAGGCAAAATGTATGACTGATATCTGCCCACTGTGGCAAAATGTATCACTGATCTATCCATTGGGGTGGCCGGATGGCACAGTTCTGTGATCCTATCAATTTTTGTTCTATAGTTTTGCAATTCGGACGGATGTGAATGCTGGATGATGTGAATTACAGTCAAAATATAATATAGATATATTCATGAAATATATTGAAACAATTTAAGAATGCTGATCTTTACAAGATTGTATGGATATATTACATCCAATATGCAATGGGTTGGAATCTGCCATGTATTATTAAATTACCATAAATGTTTCCAATCTACCATATGGATGTCAGAAACATGTTATGTCATGATATTACAAATCTGTGTATATACAGTAACCTAACAAGTTCTTTGGACAATAATGATGGCCAACAATGGACATTACATGCTAAATGAATACGATAATTTATATATTGGACAAAAGCAATGGTAATTACTTAATTGTTTACCAAATGAAAACAAACAAGAGACCATTGTTACTTGCAACAGACTTAATTGTATCACCTTAAAAGAATGAATTATTTTCTAATTATTTTTTAATGTCAGTAATTGGCACCAAAAATAACATGATATTGTGTAAATATAGAATTCCAAAGTTAGCAAAGTACAAGTACACTTTACAGTATCTATAGTATAATTATTGCATGTTGTAATTTCGATACTTTTTTGACCAAAATAAATTCATACAGTGTGTAAAAGGCAATTTAAAAATAAATGAAGTTTATTGGTATAAGAAGAAGATTTCATCCAAGTTTGTGAAGCTTTGAAGCAGTGGAGTGTGTTTTATCTTCGATATTATGTCTTTCGATATTTCGTTAAATTGCAGCCATTGCAATGCTTCCTCGCCTCTCTGCCCGATAAATGCCACTTCTTTGTCTTCATAGATATTTAGATTATGCTAGCATCCAAGAGTACTTCATTGTAGAATAGTCCCAATTGATAAAATGGAGGCATAGTTGAACTTGAAAGGAAAAAACCTCCCATAATATGTGCATTATCAGAATAAAAAACAAATAATTTGAAAGTCACATGCAGGTTCTCAAACTCCTTGTGAGTTGTGGGCACTACATGACACTGATGACAGCCCGGGTGAATATTTTCACAAAACATTTGTTCTGGCCCACAACAACCTAAGAGCATTAATTGGCAGAGCATTGGACTAGTATTCCAAAGGTTGCGCGGGTTCGATTTCCACCGTGGCCAAGCAAACTAAATTTTCAGCTTGCCCGGTGTGGATGCACTCAGACTAACATCACAATAAACATCATATTCACCTGAGTACGTAACAAGTGTAATAGTATACATAAAAGTATTACTCGATTGTGATTGGTTGATTTCAGTGCAGTTAATCCCAAACAACAGTGCAAAAATCTGTAATCACAGTGCAATTTTCTGTAATCACAGTGCAATTTTCTGTAATCACAGTGCAATTTTTTGTAATCACAGTGCAATTTTCTGTAATCACGGTGCAATTTTCTGTAATCACAGTGCAATTTTCTGTTATCACTATGAACCAATCAAAATTGAGCTACATTTTGGCGGCAAAATGTTCTTTTTTTTTTCAAAACAAACATGGCCGCATTTATATATTGTTATACATAGTTATGCGCTTAAAAATTACCCGGACACGAACAAGTAAGTGCTTTGTACCAACAAAGTGTTTTGTTTTGTTTTATTTTGCCTAGTTTATGCATGCATTTTGATTTTTGACGTGTAGCTAATATATTTGTTCTTTGTTTATTAATAAATGTCAAGTTCAAATTTGATTGTCTCGAATACTTTTATGCATATTATTAACAAGTAA